TTTGCGGGCTGTGCGAGTTTGGAAAAACCCGGCGCTCGCACCTCCGCCTGTGAGGAGCCTTGGGAGTGACCGCGCCAGGTGGCCGGGAGCCGGGAGCCGGGCGGTGGGATGAGCGCGTTCACGGGCCCCGCACCCCCGGGGGGACTAGAGATGTCCCAGCCGCGTGGATGAGGTTCCCCCGGGGAACTGCGGGTGCTGGGCGCCCCGAAAAGTGTGCGCTGCTGGTGCCAGCTGCGCCAGAACCTGGTGCAGTAGCCTGAGAGGGACTTACACAGCAGCCGAGCAAGAGCGTGCCCTTCTCCTTGGGGTGCTGTCGGAAAGTTATCGCCTAAGTGGGTTTCTCATTCACTTAACTGAGAATTTTTCCTGCTTAAGAACTTCAGAGCTAGACTGAAGGAAAGGGTATCTCACAGGTAGTCCAGGGGCAGCATGGAGACTCTATGTAACCGCCTGGGCCACATCAAAAGCAGCAGTTTGTTCAGCCCTGAAGCGTATTTAAGAACAACGTAATCCAGAGCGAGCAGCTGTAGATGAAAACAAGTTTGAATTTCTAAATTTGGCGTCAGTTTCCTAGCATCTGATCCAAAGAACTTACTCACGCTCCCCCGGCTCCTGTTGTTAAACAGTTGCATCTTAATTCATTTTGTCTTAATTTCGTTATCTTCTGTTGACAATACTTTCCTAAATGTCCTCTTCTTCATCTTCTTCAGCAATACATCTCAACTTAAGTAAATTAGTCACTGCACACAACATGAAGAAAGCCGAGTGGTGGTATGAATGAAAACTCTGCGTCCAGATGGCACCTGCTGTTACTGCTCCCTTGGCAGGGGAGACCTCAGGCTTGAGGTCCATCCAGTCCTGCCCGTTTTACAAGAATGCCAGCGGGAATCCCCTGGAGATAAGACAGAGCCGGGGCTCAATTTTTAGAGGAGTTACAATGCCTAAATATTTTTTGCAAAGTGCATGGGCAGGTAAACTAGGGAGCTGTAGGGAGGAACTTGTGGCAGTAAAGATGATCTTAAGATGCCAGAATAACCCAAGGTACGATTTTGACATTTTCAGTGGGGGAAGTATTAGATTCACAGTACTATTTATGTAGCAGCTTTTGGGTAATTATGTTTTATAACCCTGTATGCATTTACAAGATAGAAGGCTTAAGACTAGATTTTGCATCAAAGTCACAGAGAATTAGGCTTTTTTGAAAACCTGTGAAAATATCTTCAAACGTCCTTCATCATTTTGAACTGCCTTAGTTCCATTAAAACTTGGCCCTAATGTAGAGTGCAGTTATGGCACGATATAAATAATAAATATAAATCATTCAAATGATACTCTACCTATGAGAAATCTTGAATTCCTTGAACTCTTGCATTCTTGAATGCCTTGCCTTTTAGGCAGCTTTCGTGACCATCAGCACTGGGCTTGCAAGGCAATTTCAATTCCTAATCTGCAAATTGTTCTGTGTCCTGTTGGGTTTATTTGAAAGTCTGCCTTGTGGGTGATGGTGGTATTGGAAACAGGAGATTATGACTTCTTAATGCAATTACACTGGAGCTGAAGCAGAGCCACGAAGGAGGATGAACTTTTATTCAAACATCTGTCAGCCGTGACATAGACCAGGAGAGATAAAATGAAGATTGAATTATTTTGCTCTCTGATGTTATGTTACCACTGCAATCTTGAATTGCATTGGAAAATTAATCTGGACAACAATGCATCACAGGGTGATGAAGATACAACTCTCTTCCCTTATGTCACCCCATGATTGAATTTAGGAAATAGAGGAAAGAGCTTTGCATTTCAAGATTTTCTGTCACAAGGGCATCACATTTCACCTGTTCTTTTTTTTTTCAGTGTACTGTGATGTTGTCTTCTACCGTTTTCTTTTTTATAATCCCAAACATTCATCCATAAACATGGTGTATTTGTAATTCCAAAATATTTCTGAGCATTAGTATACAGTGACCTCTAGGGTGTTGTGGTTTCATTTATGTTAAAAATGTTCAGTAAACCAAAACCAATTGCATGTTTAATTCTGGGAGCAGTTAATGACAGTATTCTTCAGATCAAGTGTATCTCTGTGTACTTCCAGAACAGTCAGCGGTAGGATGAATTTCTGGACTGAACATTCCAGTGTAAATCCAAGCCCTTCACTTTACACCCAGTTTGTGCTGGTTTAGCTGTGGATTTACTTTGCACTTCCAGGCAGTTTGTGCTGGGTTAACAATGAAACCCCGTATGCCTATACTGAAAGAAGAGGTAATCCTTTTTGCCTTTGTTAGGTAAATTTTTAAATTTTTTACGTAGAAAGAAAGAAGACTTGAGTGCCTCACCAGAAATGTCTGACTTTCCTTCTGTGATACTCACTAGTGGTGAGCAATGGAGGATTCCACACAAAGGTAAACTGATATCAAAGAAATTCAGGTATCGATAGTAAAAAAACCTTTTATAACAAAGCCTTCATTCAGACAACTGGCTGGCAGCTTCATTATTGGCCGGCCAAGTCTGTATAAAGGATGGAGGAAGCAGAACAAATTAAGCCTGTTGTCTTACCCCCTAAGAAAAAAGGGTTGCTCATAAAGTTGCAGCCCCTTTTCTAGAAGGCAGCCAGCTCCAGCATCTCAGAGTGTTGATCTGGTATATCAGTTTCATATTGCTTATTTACACTCAGTCTAAATAATCATTTGAAGTGGAAGTTAAAAGATGCTTTATGAGCTTGATCTTTCTGCTAACCTGTGGCTGATAGTCTTTTACTCCCATGAGCGGTGGTTGTAAGTGGCTCCTGAGTATGCCTCCTTGCTTTTTTATGCTGACTTCTCAGAAACATGTATTCCCCAGATTTGGAGGTGTTTCACTCTTTAAGGATAATGTATTCCATTGTTTAAAACACTGCTGTGGAAAGAGAGTCTTTAGCTCAATAGGCTGTCTCCTTTCATGCCAGATGTCTCTCTCAGGCCAGTTTTTTCTTCACTAGGGCAAGAGACAAGCTGATTTGCCATTGATTTACCTTTCTGAGGATGTTCTGGTGTCTTACAAGCGAAGGCATGGTGCCTCCATCCTTTGGGACCAGAGGCCTGAGCGTGGTCCCTCACTCATCTTTAGCAAGAATTTCTGTGACCTGCCCCAACGTGAAGTGGTCCTTCCATTGCAACTCAGGCTGCTGGAGTATAAAGTTAGTCCAGGAAGAGAAGATCCTTGTTGCTTGGGGCCCAGGGGAAGCGGGGCTTGTCTCTGCCCCTGCAGGGCATTGATCGAGTCATTTAAACCAGAGAGGTGACATGAAACCACTTTGCAAGGTAGAAGCGGAAGAATGGGCTGTGCTGTTTCAGACCCAGGTCGGCCTCTTTTTGACAGTGATTGGTAAAGTAAATAATCGTGTGAAGACTGTATGTAACTCATATAAACCAAATAAAAGTTGCCTGGCACCATAATGATGGTGTTTATTAACAAAGAGTATTTGGTTTTTTGCACCTAAATGTTGCTTTTTAAACATAGTTGGGTTTGAGAACTGAGCGTATACAAATTAAGCAAAGCTTCCTGTGCCAGCTGGATGAGCAAGAACTGTTTCATACTTTCTATTAGTAGACCCTGGTTTTAGTTACTTGTATGTTTTCCTAACTTAAGGCATTTGCCTTGAAATTTTCTGTGCCTTACCTACTTCTGAGGAAAACAAGAAGTAAAAAGTCAGTGATAAAAAATTGTCCCACTGCTCCGATGAGCTCCTTGCCTTCAAGCAAGTTCTTGAAACTGGAGAAGAGCACGTGCAAGGGAGATTACACGGATAGGGAAGTGTCTTATCTTTCCTTCTGCAGCCCTGCCCACACTGAGTGAAGTTACAGCCTTGTGTTCAGTAGATGCTTTTCTGAGCTCAGTATCAATATCCTGTACAGGATATTCTTTGCAGAGGTCAAGAGCAGAAAGCACCCTGGCACTTCAGGGTGCCGGGAACATCCCATGCCCAGAGGAGGAATGAAATTTGGGCAGGGAACTGCAGAAAGATATGATCTTGTGGCTAAAGTTGTCAAATGCTGTCTTGTAGAACGAGATTTTATCCACCTCTCTTCCCTGCACTGCCTGAAGGTTGCAGAGCAAATGACTTAAATCACTTCTGACAGGCCATGTCACTTAGTGTACCATGGGTTTTGTTAGTCTAACCTGAGAAACTTGTGTTCGGATTGGCAAAAGGACTTAGTATTCACAATTTTAATCAAAAGGAATTGTACTTTGAATATAGCAGAATGCTACGAATCCTAAATAGTCTGAAAATCAAGCTTTGAATGTCTTAAATTACGCACTTAAAATCGATGGTCATTTCTGATTATTTTTAATCGTTGTGTTTTATTGTGCACTGCTTCACCAAGATGCCAGCTTATGTTAAATAAGTCTTTCACCCCTGTAATGATGTATTATAAAAAGAGACTAAAAGAGTATTAAGTTATGCAGAGTGCTATAAAAGGTGTGCACTAACTGCCATCTGAATATGTATGTAATTCATATTTAATTCCATTTTCCTTCATTGAGATTAAAAAAACACACGGATGCTAAGAACCCTGTTGTATTAGTGAAACATCCATGTACACAGAGAGGTTTTCTATGCCATGTGCTTCTAATGTAGCAGTTATTTCCTGAAGACATCACTGAATATGGAACAGTTAACTAAAATTTAAGTAGATACTACTTCACTTAACAAAATGTGCACTAATGAACATGTCCTATCTTTCAGGAAGTTGCACAGCAGTGAATCAATACCTTAACCAAGAAAAAATATGTTTTATATAAATAATCACTCAGCTTCCCCTGATAAATAAATGAGCTTCTCTTTTTTTTATTGAAGAAGAAGAGTACGACGAGCCTCCACAGTGCAAGGCAGGACAAGATATTGTGCTGCAGTCACCTGTCGACTGGGTGCTTTTGGATGGCCGAGAAAGCTCAGATGACCGTGGAATTGTGCAGTACGAGTGGACACTGCTGCAAGGTGACTCATCGGTTGAAATGAAGGTACACATGGAACCTTGCACATAGCCGGTCATTCACAGATTGTTGCGTTCATTATAGCACAGTTTTAACCGTAGAGCTAAAAATATTAAATGTATTTAAATGGATATGGCTACGCGGTGCCAAAATTAGGATGACTGTACAACTTGAGCATTTATTTCATAGAACCATAGAGCAGCCCAGGTTGGAAGGGATCTTGAAAGATCATCTGGTCCAACCTTTTGTGGGTCAGGGAGCCTAGATGAGATTATCTAGTGCCCTGTCCAGTCACATTTTGAATACCTTGGGTGATGGGGTCTCTACCATGTCCCTGGGGAGGTTGTTCCAGAGATTATTTCTAGTGTTTTATACAGTTCATCTGTATCTGTATCCAGGATGGCATGAGTAGCAAACAAGTAGATGCTAATACTCTACTGTATTTCAGCTCTGCTCTCTTTCGCCATTGTTTGTGCTCGCTGCACTTGGTTTTTGGCTTCTGTGATCCAGGTTAGAGACACCTTAGTAATTCAATTACTAAAAATAATAAGATATTTCACCAACAGTGTTCTGTCAATGCCTATGGAGAATCTGCAAAGAAATAAGGTCATGTAGACATTATAAGATATCTTGAGATACTGTTTTATTGCATCTGTACAAGTTCTGTGCATCTGTGCAATTTGGTTTCAACTTAAAATTAACCATCAAGAGAGGGATTTTCCATCCAACCCTTCTTTATGCATGCTGTAGGAGCAGCAGAAAAGGAAATGAAAAATGTCTCAAACCCATAGAGTCTACTCATAGTCTGTTCACAGCCCACAATATTCAGGGCTCAGCAGGGACTCCACCTAGAGCAGGAGGGACGTGTTAAAGGGGAGAGGATGTGGACCGTAGACCTTGCTGTTGCTGAAATGCTGCCGATGCATAGGAAGAGTATAAACAGGACAGCATGAGCAATGGGGGCAGTCCAAAACCCAAGAGGTCATGTTTACCTGTGCCACCATGAGCAGTACCTGACAGTTGCTGCTTACATCTGCTCAGCTCAGTAACATCAAAGACAAGTTGGACAAACTACCAATATCAGCAAAGTTACTCAAGATTTGTAATGATGGAGCAAACCAGAGTTTTGCCTAATGTAAAGAGCTAGCTAAATGCATTGAAACCTAAAATTGTCATCCATGGAAAAACTCAATGGAGCAATTGGTTATTCCTTAGTCTTCTGGAGGGCAGTGGTAGGTAACATGTAGGTGATTGAAAATCACCATGTCATGGTTAGGGAACATGCTGCTGGATGAACCCTAAGAAGACAGTTGGGTTTCACTGGTGAATATTACTGAAATTTATGCACAAGTAATTTTTTATAACCATACTCCTTGCAGAAAACACAGCAGGGGGATTATTAGTTAAGCCAGTGCTACGTACTTTTGCGAGTTTTGTCTTCTACTAAGATCCCTATCTGTGGAAGGGAGACTACAGTCAGCCAGTTCTGAATTACTTGAGGCTGTACTGCCATTTGAAACTATGTCAAAGACCACTGTGAGTTTGTTTATCTTCATTTATTACTTTTTTGGCTTGAAAAGTAAAATGTCAAAAGGCTTTCATAAGGAGTGCAAACAGCATAATACATAGAAAAGACCGGAATGAAGCTTTGAGAATAGTTTCTAGACACCATCTGCATAAAATGAACATTTTATTATCAAGAGTTGTTAATCTGACCCTTTGCAGAATTATTTTCTGTAAATAGCAATCAAATACTCTTTAAATATATCTGTTGTAGTAATATATCTAGAGTAACACAAAAATCAGAAGTTAATTAAAAAAATTAAAGTTCATGGTTTTACTTTTAGTCTGAGTGACTCCATAAAATAGAGAACAGTCTTAAATTTATTTAAACCTGCAAAATTAACATTAATCTTGGTGATTTCTTTATATTTGATAAATTAAAACAATCTTGATACAGGTTTATGTTTAGATAGATAGTTTTCCATTGTGTTCAGATGGGCAGGGTTTTCTCTCACAGGTATGTACCCTGATGATGATCCATGATAATTTAATTTTTAGAGTTGAATTAATAATTGTGATTATTCATACAATCTTCAGTTGCTATCTTTAGTGCTTTAGTTGCTATCCTGAAGTTACTGGATTTCATGTCATCTATTCTTAGAAAACTATATATGAATCTATAGCTACAAGGGAGAATGGGGCTGTGTTTACAGAAGATAAAAGGCAGCTGTTGCACTGCGCTTATGTACCAAAGAATAAATAGAAGGCTCAGGAGGGGGAACGACTGCTATAAAGAGATCTTATCGTGTTGTAGAAGAAAGCCAGTGGAAATTTTTTTCTATTGTGACTGATTATCGCTTCTTAGATAATTTGCTTTTCAGATTGCTACCCACATGCTGTAGCTGTGCAGCTCTGTGACACTTGTGGGCAATTCCTGGGCTTTTTGAATGCTGATTATTTGGAAATTTACTGTCTAGTTTGAGCCAAAGTTTGTAAGAAAGCAAGTACAGTTGGGCATTCTTCAGGGCAGGACGGAGATAAAAAGGAAAGCACAGAGGTCGCCAGAAGGAGTGGCGGCATATTCAGAAGTCAGTGGTGTTTCTCTGGCTCTGCACTGAGAAGACAGTTGGACTCCACGGCTCATGAGTTTTAAATACCGAATTTGCTCTCCCAGCAGTCATGGTGAACAGCAGCAGGTGGTTTTTACAGCATATTTATTTCTGTGATACAATAAAGAATAATATTCTAAAGAGTCATATACTCCATCAGGAGGTAATCAACAGCAAAATCAGATAACTGAGTGCATTCGGATAATTAGAAAAGGAAAGAAATTTCAGTTAGGAAATTCACTTACCAGATGAGAAAAATGAATTTATCAATACACCCTGCTATAAAGCTAGGTCTAGGATTCTATTATTATATTTATCGAAAATTCCTGTTTTCTTTGAGGCACGAAAACCAACTTTAAATAAGCAAAACCAAAGGTCTTCATTGAATTTCAGTTTTAATATTAAAGATAGCCACAGTGGCTTTTAATGTACCTTTCAGGTACTTATAAAGATAGCCCTGTATGCTTCATTTGTAAAAAAACACTACATGTCCAATAAACCTGCAGAGCTTCTGTAGTTACTGAAGCATGTGTTACTGCATTCTCAGACAGTTGAAGTTATTTATGACTAGTAATTGTCACAAGGCTAGAAAAAGTTCAGCATTTGATACAAATACCATACTCATTTTATAAAAACTTATTTCTAAATGACCGTTGTACTAGTAATACCAGTTTGGCACCTGTTTTAAATTATCATAAAATAAGTTATTTTGCTTTTTTTAAAATGATCTAATCAAATTTAAACTGTTCTTATCTCTCTCTCTCTCACACATGACTTTCTGAAACCTAATGTTTAGGTCACTCACTATAAATGAACTTATTTGCAGTTCAGAGCGAGGCATGGAAATTCAGCATGGGGCATGGAAAAATTCAGTCTGGCAATTTGTAAAAGTTGCAAGTGACTACATTAAATGTCATACTGGACAGAGGTGGGCAGTCTTATTAACAAAGCAGTACTATCAGTCACCTTATCAAAAATCAACGTATAGCAAAAGTAACTTCTGTGAATACATGTATATTGTCTAAAGACTAACTCAATAGAGAGCAAAATATTTTACTGCCTACCCTCTAAAATTACATTTCTAACTACTGAAAAATTGAGTTAAATTTATGGTTCCGTTTATTCTCCAGTGCTAAGATCCACAGCTCTGGGTAATTGAGTGTACCGTGAAAAACAGTACATAAATATCAAGCATGTTTATTTTTACAAATGGATGCAAAAAAAAGACCAAAACATTACAGGTTGATACACATACAGCCGGATTGGGCTGGCTAGACCTAAGAGAAGTATTTAACATGCATGAAAAGCATCGTACAGAAATGAGCTCCCTATTCCTAGAAGTTTATGGACGGATCCTTTATACCATTTTTTTTTCACTGTGTTTCTTTAATCAGGTACCACAGCCAGGAACACTGAAACTCTCTCATGTCCAGGAAGGCGGGTATATTTTCCAGCTAACTGTGACAGACACTGCAGGTCAGCAGTGCTCTGACAACATCTCTGTGACCGTTCTGCCCATGGTTCATTCCGCAGTAGGTGAGAAAATGGCTGGAGCTGTTGCCTGTGTGACACCCGGGGGATGGTATTCAGAGCAAGGGTCTTGATGGAGGCAGAAATCTTACTCTCCATTTCTAGTGTATTATTTTGCCCTTATTCATTACATAATGACATCTCTTTCAGTTTTGGATTGCTGTTTCAAACTGAGGAAGCAAGCAAGCATGTATGTTAGAGCAATAATACTTTCAAGCATTTAAATGTTCAGCCTTGTGTTGCTAATAAGCATGCAGGGTTGGAAAAATGAAATACTGCCGTGTGTATCAGGCACATCGTAACAGTTCATTGTATAGTCAGACGGTGCATGGAACGTGACAAGGATTGTGCTAAAAGCGGTTAATAGTAGGTGTGACAAACAAACTAATAATAATATTGGCCTGTCTCTGTAGTCTAAAAGATGGGATGGTTTCTTGTTTTCATGCATTTAAGCTTTTCTCTGTAATGGTTGTTATCGAAGCAATGTGTGTAATGGTTGTTATTGTTAGTGGGGAAACTGAAACTGGAATTGACCCATCATTTTAAAACTCTGAGCTCGAGAAACATGTAAAAAGCATAAAGGGTAGAAGGTAAGTTAGATTTCAGTGGCTATCAATTCTGCACTCTTCAATGCAATAACTTCTAATTACATTGTAATTAGCAAGTTGCTAATAGAGATCTGCTGCTCTGGCACAAAGTAAAGGTTAAACTGGCATCATGACTATGTTCAGCTGAACCAGTAAAAACTTTGCTCTGCACCAGTGCAATATCTCTACGTGAGAGGGTAGTCTCAGTGGCAATAAATTAATATTACAAAAAACACTTTATGAGTCTGTTTAATAATGCCTGTATTCCAGTAATGGATGATACAGTTGTATTCGTTAATGTTTAGCTAAAGCAGCCAGAGAGGTTTGGTGATTTATTTATTTGCCGCTGTGGGTATCTGTGGTATTTTTTGGGTGGAGCATGTAGAGGATTTGCTGCCTTTTTATTTCTTCTAATTCCCCAAGTCCGTTTGCAATTCAAGTGCTACTGCTATAGTTAAACCAGTCCACAGTGCCTTAATGCATGCAAGACCGGTGCTATTATTAGTGCTGAAGTTTAGGAGATGCATTTTCTAAGTATGGTTTTAAGGGTTTTAAACAGGTGCCTGCGTGCCTGCCATACTTTCCTTAGTATTGCGCAGCTTTTTGGTACATAGCAGGAAAACAACCAAAGGCTGTGACTTCCTTATGCAAATTGATTTGCTGTTACAGCATTAACCAAACACTGAATTTGATAGTGCTTTACAAAGTAATGAACTACGCCGCTGCTGGAAAGTCAAAAGCACGGATATGAACACTTCATAATTACAAGGTCAGAGTGGGTTTCAGGAAAGCTTTGAGTATGCAAAATGAAATGTCCAGGGACACTCTCCATTTCCAGGGGAATCTAAATACTAAAGCAGGGAGCAATCAGTTCTTTCTGGTGAAGGTCACTTGTGAGACCTTGTGCTTGGTCCTGTTCTGGCATGTGCTGTATTGGATTTACATTGCTGATGTAAATAAATGACAAGCATTCTTTTAGTATTTTAAATAGGTTGCAGAAAACATGCCATAAAAGATCCCATATAGTCCATATGCGTGCATGTAAAATAACATAGTGTCAGAAATCCAGAATGTGTATATAGTAGGAATTATGTGTGGAGAGATGCAGTTACAGCCATAGAGATTTCATTTATTTATTTCCAGGACTGTCCTGGGTCTTTTAAGCCTGGAAAGATCTCCTCTCAGCTTACGCCAGCAGAGTTTAAAGTGCTGTAGGGGTGCTGCACAAGGTGTAAGGTGCAACAGCCTCCAGGCTGAGTATTCCCGTAGTAAAGAGGTTGCCAGAATAGTGATGAGGGTGCCAGGAACAGCTATTAGCTATATTAGCTTCTGTGTCAATATAGCATCTTATAGCTGAGCCTGGCCTTTCTTGAACTTTCTGCCTTGTTCGTGGGCCTTCTTGACATAGCGTGGTTTTGCTTTTTCCTTGGTGCTGCAGGTTTTAGTCATTGACTCAGTATTTACTGCTTGGATTTCTCTTTCGGTAATTTGGGAATTGTTTCTCAACAGCCTGTGTTGGGGTTTGCTCTCGCTACCAGTTTATCTGCGATGATGGCTGCTGCATTGACATCACATTTGCTTGCGATGGTGTGAGACAGTGCCCTGATGGATCAGATGAAACTTTCTGCCAGAACTGTAAGTTTACTGGGCCAGTGTAGATTGTGTAGATTGTGAAAGTAACCGCAGCCTGAATGACCAAAGGGGAATGACGCCCCTTCTGTGGCCTCTCTCCCCGTAAGCAAGCAGCTTGCGCCCACCGTAGAGCCTTTCATTGGCAATAGCACGTGGGACGGTTTAATGTCCGCATACAGCAGATGCTCAGAAACTCCCTTTTCTTCAAAGCGTATCAAAACTGTCCAAGGTCCCCAAATGGAAGATTTTGTGTTAGAGTTCTCAACATTTACCAGTTCTTTACTTGCATGATGATTCTGGAAACAAGGACCCTGGTCTTGATCTGAAAGGGTGTCTTAGAGGTATGCTTCAAAGTGCAGTTACACACCTTGCAAGAATCTGAAACACTGGAAATGTGAGTACGTAGGGGAACCAGTTGATTCACCATCGCTCTGTTTGCTTTTATTAGTCATCCTCAATATGTGCCCATGCTCAGCTAAGTGAATGAAAATCACCAGCGGGTGAATTGGCATGATGGCTAACCACTCTTCCATTGATATTTCAGTTGCTGGATTTCACTTGAGCGTTCATGTATATACTCTTGCTTAAGAAGTGACAGCGGGCAATTGTTAACTTGCTATGTATCTGGAACTCACATTTCATCATATGTCTGAACCTGATGAACTTGTTTAGCCTGCCTCAAGGCCCATATCGCAGGGTCTTCCATCAGAACACTCCCATTCCTTTCAATTCTATATAAAAATTATGATTTTTGTTTCTGTTAACACAGTCAGCCCGGGCCGGAAGACAGTGACTCACGCAGCTCTTGGCACTACCCAGCAAAGGACTGTAGCACTGACAGAAAACACAGATGAAAACTTCTCTGCAGAGAACACTCTGAAAGCCACTGCCAGGAATCAACCACTTCTTTCAGTGGATGCAGACATGTCTAACCAATCGCTTTCTCAGGGACCAAAGAAACAAATCAGTGGATTTGTGCCAGGTAAGAATTGAAATTAGCCAGTTTCAATAAATCTTTCTCTCTCAAAGAGGAAAATGTCTTGCAGCTTAAATTTGATGAAATTGTCTTTTGGCGCCTGGCTAAGAGTAAAAATTTGCAAATGTACAAAATGCAAAAGAAGCTTGTAATAATTAAGTTACAGCTAGGTATTGCTTTATAAAGTGAAGTCTGGTTCTTACCAGGTGCAAAAAGAAAGTTAAAATGTAGAAATGCTAGGAGAAGAATTCTGTCTTAAGGAAGAAAACATACAGTGAGCTAAATACAAATTCTGCCGCAGATTCAGTTGTGTAAGCTGATGTATAAGGCTCTTCAAATCTGTAGGGGCATACCTTCAGGAGGACATAACGAAGCACTGTTAAATTTGCGTGAAAGTAATTGCATCTCTCCTGGTGCTAATAGATGACTTTTTTTTCCCACCTGAAGTAATATCTTGAATTATTATGGGCACTTTTTTTCTGAAGCGTGTCTCCAGGGCAGGAGAAATCTTTTATCACTATAGAGAAGGCTCAGTCTTTGGTAACAAGGAACCCAGGTCCCCAGTAGTATTCTCCGTAGTGGCTGCAAGCCTGTTGTGAGTCAGTGTGTAGTGATGTTACAGGCAGAGACACCACTCCTTGCCTTTGTAAAACTCCAGAAGTTGCAATGAAACTGGTGTGTCTCTTAAGGTTCTTACTGGTAAATTAAAATGAACTGAAATGGCAAGTGAATGAAGGCAAAACTGTGTGCACAGAGCCTAAAATGAGTGTGAGACCTCCCACTTTCATTTCTTCAGAGTTCAGGCTGATACTTGCTACCCAAGATGCAGCTAATCATAAACAGCTTTATTTTCTCGTTACAACAGAGCAGTGCTCAGCGCCCTCTGCTGCTGACTCTTGTAAAGGGCACTTCCCTGGTCGGCCCTTTGATGTTTCTTCAGATGCTTGTCCTTCGTCTGTGGAGACCGCAAAGGGAGTGAAAACAACATTCTTCAATAATTTGACTGCCTTGGTGAATGTGTAGGAACTGATAGCAAAGTCCTCTCTCAAATGTTTCCCCCTTTTCTGGCAGTGTAGATGACTTCGGTGCTCCTTATTGGAATGACTTAAAATTCTGAAGTCTGCCCCAAACCCTTCTTGCTCGCATAGTCCTGAGTGACACCTGATATGGGGCCACCAAAACTAAACATCAAATTGCCAAAGGGCACTGCAGGCTCCAATGGAAAGTTAGCTGCTAAGTAGGTCTCAAAAATCAGTGGGCTTGTGAATCCAGAAGTAAAACCAGAATTGAGGTCACCAACTTCGGCAACCTATAATCAGAGGTTATAATTGGAAGTGCATGTAAAAGTGTGGCACTTTTGCATAGTCATTTTCTGTGTTTACCCATTGCACAGTGACTTACTTGCACCGTTTTTGCTCTCAAGGTAGCCTTTTACACAGCAGTAGACGATAAAAGAAAAGAAATATTACAAAACTAAAAAAATGTGATAGGACTTCAGTGATTAGTGTACTACCAGAAGCTGTTGTAATCTTTTTAATTTTAAACAGGCAGGATTTCCAGCTGACCACATCTGGTTTTAATTCTTGTGCTTTTAATATTGCTCTTTTGACAAGGCTCAGTCAGAATTTAATTTCAGTTAAATGATACTTAAGGATTTCCTTGTAGAACAGAAGGACCCAGTCCTTACTGACCCAGGAGCCCAATACTTTTAACCAAAAAAGCAGCAAACAGCTCAGAGAATTTTTAATTTGCCTATGGATCAGTTCCAAAGAGGATGCATGTGATGGGACATGAAGAGGTGCTGGGTTCCTGGGTCCAAAGTGCAACTGCTAAAATCTGCTCTGAATTCTTGTCTTCTAATACAGAGATATAAACTCCGTAAGAGTCACGTGCTGGACGTTAATGAGTCCGGGAGGTCCAGAGAGATTCAAGTCCTGCCCCACTGGCAAGCACCACAGTCTTTATGGAGTTGAGGAGACAGGCATCTAACCTATTCCTAAAAATCCACCCAGATCCATTAATTAGATTTCTCTCCATCACTGCCATCTCAAGGAGGTTACAGACCAAATCTAATAATTAGGTGCTACAAAAATGAGAGTCACAGAACCACTGGAGCAGCTCCATGAAGCCCGTCTGGAAAAGTGTTAGGGAGGGCAATAATTGCTAAATGCATTTCTGAGGAGAGGTAAACAGCACCGAATAGAAATCATACCAACCGCCTCAAAAGTTCAGCAGTTCCACTGGCAGAAATCCTGTTCTGGGATGGACTGTCTCCTGAGACAGCGCCGGACCCGCTGCTGGTGCCAAGGCAGAACCTGTGCCTCCAAGTCACACTGTAAAGGTCTTTGTTGGACCAAGACAATAATGTTGGCCTAGAGTTGACTTTGCAAGCATCCATTTGTAATTTACTATTATAAATAAATTTCAAAAACAAGCTTTAGTGACTTCAATGTCAACATGGTTGTCCTGGTTTCGGCTGGGATAGGGTTAAATTTCTTCCTAGTGCTCTCTACTTAAGATACACATTAAGCGGCCGCACAGGTTCCAGGTTTTCACTTGAGAGCACTTCATTCAGGGCTACATTTGTCTTAGTTCTTAGTTGGCATTTGCAGATCATCATGGAAATACAAGCCAGGAAGGAAAATAATGATGCTCTTAGATCCAGTGACTGCAAGGCAGAGCAAGAGGTGGTGTTAATATTAAGGGTAATTTACCTACTGGAGACGCACGTGGCACATTCTAGGTGGCTGCTAGACACAATGCTTGATACAGGAGCTTTCAGCTTTCAGCTGACTTTGAAAGAACAGAAGTTTTTCCCGCGAAGTTGCAGGACTGGGGAGTTGCTTTGTTTTCTTTTTTACATTTGTTTTTATTACAGTGGTGGTTACAGTACCAATAAAGACAGGTCCCTTCTACTTACCTCCCCATAAGCAGCTTTCATCTCTGAGAACCAATAAAGGGACCTCCTTGTCAAGGACCATCTTTTCTCCATTATAAAAGGAGCTGGGCTAAGCTATAATGTTTTGGGCGGTGGGATAGTTCCTCACAGCAGTTTTCTTTCTGCCTATGAGGGTAATACTAAGGGAAATTTGTCCCAGAATTCATTTTCTCCTAATAGTTTCTCTGTTCCCAATTTCCCTTAACCTGCCTTCTTTACTCCAGTAGCCCCTCATGTTTGGCTTTGACTTGATAGAAGCTTTTTAAGGATTTACGCTTAAGTATGAAAATGTGAAAATATGCGAGTCCAAGGTAAGGACTTTTAAAACTTCTACCTGACCTAGCAGGGGACCTATTCATGGTAAAGAGATAAAAAAACCCAAAACCAAACCAAAACAAAACCCCAAAAAAGTCATTCATTGTTGACAATGAGTGAATCTTTTTCTGCACGCCTGCCTTTCAAGTGGGATTCCTCTACAGAAGGCTGACTCCGGGGGAACACCAAGTCCAACTTAGAGATAACCTCCTCAGGCACTCAGGGCATGGAGTCTTCTGCAACAGACTCATGGTTTACTTTTTCCCAAGCTGAAAGGCCAAACATTTTCTTTCGTAGTTGGGAGCAGATGCAGGAAGAGGCTTTTGATGTCAATAAAGGAGTCCTTTTCCTTTGCACACATATCTCCATAGTGAAGTAACCCAGTCTGCATCTCCACCAAAGGCCAGCGCAGCATTTCTGCATGGCTGCCTCCGAAGTGCCCCAGCGTCCTTTTCCAGGGAAGCTCTCAAGCCCAGCTGCATATTCAGGCATTGCTGCACTTGTAAATGAATATAGCAAAAATACAGTTGCAGCACAGCACACTGGAGTGAGCAATGGGCTGGTTTCTAAGCAGCGGTAGCCAGTATAGCAAACACGGTCATGCAGATGAGTTGAATTCACAAGCAGCCTGAAGATTTGCACTCCCCAGCATAGCCAACTCAAGTGTATAAATCACCATAACAGCTTTGCATTCCCCTGGCACGGGGTCTCTGCCTCTCCCCAGGCTGCCCGCGCCAGCTGTTGTGCGGTACTGTTCAGGGCTGGGATTACAATGTTTGACTGAGTGCCCAGGCCTTAGTCATGTTTTTGCAGCAGAGGAATCAACAGCAGTAGCCATAACCTAGATCTCTAATTTAGAGTAACTGGAAAGGGCTATAAATTGCAATTTCCTAGGCACGGACTAGAAAATGAAGAGAAAGTGAAAACAAAACGAAACCCACATAACATGCTTTCTGTCAGGCTCCTAAACCTGTTTGGGGAAATCTCTCTTTGTTTTCTAGTTGATAACAGATAAGATGTTGAGCAGTACTGACTCTGATAGCCCCTCCAGTCCTATAAGAACAGCCACAAGTCTTAACAAAACCCTACAAGTTTTATTGAAAGGATTCTGTAATTCTTCTACCCTTCCAAAATTTTCCCGCTAAACTTCTCTCCAGATATATTTGCCAAATGTCTTTACAAGCAGTTGACTTAAATATTAGCTTCACTTAAATGGCAGGGAAACAAATGTATAGAACAGGCATTCAGATCTAGCCTTGTCATACAGGCTGGAGCAGCTCTAAGAAGAGTCAATGTCTTTTGGGTATTTCCAAAATAAAGACAAATACTCATTTAATTTCATTTAAGGAAGACAGAAGCAGAAAACAGCTGCTCGTTTTGGTCTCAATTACATTTAGGTTATTTTGCACAGCTCTGATACCATATGGGTACAGGATAGTTTACTCTTCAGAGTTCCTTATGTCCCCCTTACATGCCAGACAACTTAAAGAGGCCGGATGAGAAGGAGGGCTGCGGCTTGTTTCTAAGGCATTTCCTCGCAGGTGAAGTCAGTGTTTATGCACCCCTAGCCATAAAGGCAGGGCAATAAAGCTAGAGCCTGGGAGACTGCGCAGTGCCTTAGAGTGGGGACATTAGCACTAACCTCATGCCAGTATCGATGAAACATTTTAAGCTTTAATTAATGGTCGTGTGTATTTGCTGCTGCCACTGATAGGGTTCTGCAGTGCTTCGGAGCTGGTGGTGGTGGGCGGGAGTTAGCGTGGTGCATGTTCCAAGCTAATTGACTTAAACACTTCCTAAACACCCACCACTATACGTAATTCCAATTACAACGTTTCACATTCATATTTTACAGGCCTTGTAGCATAGTATGTTTCCACTGGCATTCACAGTTCTGAGGGCTGCCAGCAAATACATCACAGCACAAAGTGCCCTTCAATATTTATCAGTAAAAAACAAATATAGTCATTACATTTAAAAACATAGGCGTATTTCTGATTTTTGCGAGGGTGTATTGGTGGATTAAGCTGGCGTTCTTGCACGAAGTGTCCCCACCAAGCTATTGGTGTAGGGCTTCAGTGGGAGGGCAGGAGGAGGGAGTGCCAGCTGAGTTACTCTTTGCTCCTGTGAAGCAAAACTGCAGCCGCCTGCACTCCCAAGACGAACGCTTCTTAGCAGCAAACTATGCATTGTCTCTTCTTGTGTAGTTACAGTGCTCTGCTGTATCTTCTGTACTACACAAAGCTGAAGTGACTCCAAGTCATGTATTTTTATGTCTTCCAAGTATGTAAGTTCTGCATCTGTATGTGTCAGGTAACAGGCAAAATTAAGGCAATTTGTGTACCCAACCTATGCGTTTCCCAGTTTACAAGTTCCAAGGGTGGAGATTAACATAACTTGAAATAGCCTCATTTTCACCTACATATAACTGCTTTAGTAATGTTTTAGCTCAGATTGGTCTGTACCCCATTATGGAAGTTTGTAAAAGAGAATTTATATCCGTCTTTTTTTCAGTGGAAAATGACCCACTTGGGTTTGGTTGAGATGCATTGTGGTTTGCGATGCAAAATTGAATTTACATTTTATTCTTTCAAAAATTGAAGTTATACAATAGGAGTCATAAGTTCTTAAACTGTTTTTTTTAATTAAATTTAAGCGCTTTCACATTATTTAATTCTGGTGTCCTGTGGATAAGACTTCCTTAGTCACTGAACTGCAATATTCATCTATCTTGCTTGACTTTGTGCAGGTAACAGTTCCTCAGGGAAAAGAACAGATGGTAAAAATGGGAATGGCATAATTGCGCCAAAGAGAGATCAGCTTGGAGGTGGTCGTCCAGTCCCAGAAACAGGTAAGACCGACCATGTGAATTAATTTTGAATTATGTTAGTTTTTCAGTCAGGTGCTATAGATTCAGATAGTATAGTTAAGAATTGAATAATGTACTTCCATATTCTGAACTGTTCCTAACTTGTATGATTATACAGTTTAGTTTCTCAGCATGAGTTGCTCCAAATACTAGCACCTAAGTGATAGACTAGCTGTATTTTTAAAGAAAATATTCTTGTTTTCTCTACCAATTTCTCACTGTATCAAATAAAGCGCAATTTCTCTTAACCTTGTTGTAGGTGCTGTGTTACCCTTAGCCTTAGGCTTGGCCATCACTGCTTTACTGCTGCTTATGGTTGCTTGCAGACTGCGTTTAGTGAGACAGAAGCTTAAAAAAGCTCGACCCATTACATCTGAAGAGTCCGATTACCTCATCAATGGGATGTATCTCTAAAAATTGGATTTAGGTCAGTTGTTTTCTCCCCTTTCTCCTGTGTCCATGAACCTCTGCCTCTATAAAAGGACCAAAACCTTTAGTTAAGTTTCAAGTGTAGAAGAAGCCTACGAGATGAGGAACATGTTCTTCCCCTTCAGTGATAAAAAAGTGGGTAGATGCCTGTGCTCAGAAAATAAGAAGCGTTCAGGCTTCAGAGAGTAGCTCCAGTTGACTCTTGTGCAGAAGACACAGCAAGGTGGGGACACCCCAAACTGGATGCAGGGTGCCCTTGCCCTCCCCGCAGCAGTCAGGGTCCCGGCCACGGCAGAGTGTGCCCTCGGGCCCGGGCACCGGAGCAGCCAGGGCCCAGCAGCCCCGGCCGCGCTGGCCGAGGCACAGAGGGAAGCCTGCGCCACCCTGCTCTCCTCCGTGCTGCCACCGCTGTGCTCCGCTCTGGGGACCGGGACGTTCCAGACTAACGCATGTCCAGCAGAGACTGATTTGTGTACTTGCCACCTGATGCACTGGGATTTTTTTTTTTCATTAAAGAATTTGTCTTGCTTTGTTAATAAAAAGCAATCGCTATCTAAGCACCAGCTTTTGTAATGAAATTTGGGATTTAAGGAACAAAGCGTCTTTTTTTTATTCGTAGTTTAAACCTCTGTGCAGCTAACAGAGAGTCATGCTTACTAAATGCTAAAATGGAAAAACACAAGTCCTCAGCGGATGAATTTGGACTTGCCAGTGCTCGACAGCAGTCATGTGCGATCCCAGAGCTATGTCTCTCCCCAGAGCTCAGGGCTTGTTCAGCTTTTTCCACCCCTAGCTTGACACCCTCCATGGCGTGAGAGAGCAGCACGCAG